CAGTTTCTCGGCGAACTAGTGTGAACTCGAACATTCCAGCTTTTCACGCATGTCAAGTGACTGCCCTCACCCCCCACCCCTCAGACTGGCTACACTCCCTTGGCTCGGAGTTACCCTAGCTTTCTGGGAGAACTGCATCATGATGCCCTCCTAGGAATCTTCTTTATAGTTCTGCTACCTACGGTTGTTAAGTAGAAACACCTTGGCTAACGTTTCGGGCTTCACTTTTCTTCAGAAAAAGTTTCAAAGTCCATCGCTGAAGTGAAATAATGATACACTGAGTTGGCACATTAGAAACAAATTCGCTAGTCTTTCCGTGTCTCTACGACACAGATCGCTCTTCTTCTACTTGAACTTAGCACGGTCAGCATTATTGTTTATTTGGCCTTTTTAGCGAATCGAGGGGTGAACGGCTGTGCACATTGGTGTACTTTCCTCTCAAAAATTGGTAGTCAGCAGTTGAACTATGTAGATCCCTCATAGTGTGCGTTTGGTAGTGATACTTGCTGCCATTACCAGCTACACCACTTCGAACAAAGGAGGTCTTTCGGAAAGCGTTTTTTCGACATGATTTGCTGAATGATGTAAAGGCTCACAAACTATAGTCCATTTTTCCTGAACACTTCTAGAATTCAAAACAGTGGGAAGAAATGGTCCAAAGTTCGATCCTCGTGATGACAAATTTTTGCAATTTATGTTGGCGCCTCCAAATTGCAGCAAATTACGATGGTGATATCTACTCTCGACGTTGACGTCATATGGCGGTTATCTGGAAGCGCTAACTAAACTGCATAATTTTCTCAACATGGAGCTTTGGACGCTGGATCATTTCCTTTCCAGTTTTGATATTGAAAAGCGTTCAGGAAAAATGGGCTATGGTTTTGTGTTCCTCGCGTAGACTCTACAACAGGCAGTAAATCATTTCGAAAAAGCGCTCTATGTAGCTATCTCAAAAGTCTTCCTTATAAGTGATGGCAACAAAGAATCAGTACTCACAATAGTCGGAACCAGTTATCAAGGAACTTGTGATGTTCCGGTCCCTTGGTGGTGTGGCATGTGGCTTCATTCTGCAACTTTATTCAGCTACCAAAAGCTTTTAAGGAATGACCGTAAAGCTCTAACAGAAGAAATAGAAAAAGCCATCGAGCGGTCACATGCAGAGGATCGAGTACGAAAACCAAGATCAGAATCGGACTCTGAAGAAGCGGATGCTGAGAAGGATCCTTCTGGCAGTAACGATGTTGCTAAAAAGGTAATTTTAATCTGTCATATTTTGTAAACTTTGCATCAAGTGGGCTTATCTATAAATGTCCCATGCTTCAGCCTGATCCTCCCCTTGTTCATCGAACCTCGAATAAGCCTTTCATAAAAGTGAGTTCGTGAATGTCCGATTAAGATTTCTTCAATCTGCGCCAGTCTAAACTATCCTGCCGAGGGAGGTCTGAGAGCCGATGATATGATTATCCAATATGGAGATTTGCATGCTGGAAATTTCAAGGAAATGAAGGAAGTCTCCACCACAACAGCAAAACTTGAAGGGGTGATTCTTGTTTTCACTTTAGAATAGAATTGGCCAGTGAGCTACTGAATTCGGCTATCCAGTCGTGTGATGCCAGCAGACGGCTTTTTATTCTATTCATATTTCAGCAGAAGTTGAGAGTGACAGTTCTGCGAAATGGGAGACCTGTCCGTCTCGAGATCTTTCCCAAGCGCTGGTCAGGAAATGGTATTCTGGGTTGTGGTATAGTTCCAACGACAACTTCTGATGTTATCTAATTAATGAGTGTATTCTATCAGATGAACGATCATTTTTATCTTTTATCTTTATTCTATCAAATGATTTTTCCAGAATATTATGTGTAAGTGTTGTTATCAAAGGGTTTGTCGTTTTTCGCTGTGATTTCAAGAACTGGCCAATGTTTGGCAAAAAAATGTAACTCATTTTCTCTGGTGTTTTTTATTACCGGTATTTGTACTTGTTTTAGAATGCTTACTCGGTTGTTTCAACAGTTTCACAGAGTGCTTTATTCAGTGGAAATGTTATATAAGATTTAAATTATTTGATTAGCTTGGAGCAAAAGGTGCCGGCAAATCCAATACTGTACATCTAACATAATGTTGATGTAGTAATTATATGGATATTTATTGGTTAGACAAGATTTTGCAATGGCGGAATTCACAATTTTTACTTGGTAGAATGTAGGGTCGAGCGAAAAACACAGACTTCTTAGGAAATACGTGCATCGAATGGGAACGGGGGCCTGTTGCAAATTTTGAGCCTATGGTGGAGAACTTTAGTAGAATATAGTCCAGCTGCAGCTAGAAAACGCGAAATGGTCGTCATACCTGTGTACTGCGTGCGCGGTCGCGTGGCTGCCAGCTTGAGATCGTTCTCAACGACGACGAGTAAGTAAATGTCGAGAAATGTGCGGTGGACATTTAGGCTTCACCCTGTGATCGAGGAGTCAGGCTAATTACAGGGCTGAGGCGTTCATTGGTCTTTTTGAATACGAATGCTTTCGTCGATAAGGCTGCCTATTTCAGTATCCATGGACAAAGTGGTGTTGTCACAAGAGCCATGGTTACGTAAATACGACCATCTTATTGGTGGTTTTGCAGGAGGCGTGGTGAGCACAGCAGTATGCCATCCTATGGATCTTCTGAAGATTCGCTATTCAGGTAATCTTGCCTAGATACTGCTTAATTCCAATGAAACTATGAATAGCCTGACCCTTCCAAAAATTTGAAACTATTGGAATATGTTCGTGCTCCCACTTCTTACAGTGGAGTTCCCGTTTGAAAGGTGCATGATCTGAAGTGAAAGCTAAGGGTGGGGTACTTCTCGTCATGAAAAAAGTGCCTGTGGTGTTTTTAGCAGTAAGTCACTACGTGAATCGCTTTCTCAATGCCAGCATGACTCGGTTTTAGAAGTATCACCACGCAGTGTCGGCGCACTGTCCTGAGGAGACGGGTCGTTCCTTAATTGAAACACCTTTTCCAACTGATCTCGTATCGTAAAGTAATAGGGAACAGAGCTGAAGTGGAAATGGACCAGTTGCGTTCCTGCATCGCAAACATCGAGTAGCCTCAGCGAGGCAGTGCGTTCCCATTGAAAGGGCTCCCCACTTTCTTCACGATTTGGGGCGCGGCGAGCGCGGACGAGTCGATAGTGCCCGCGAACTGTGCGGGTAAATTTGAAAACGCTCCACCACACAGTTCGCGGGCACTATCGACTCGTCCGCGCTCGCCGCGGCCGCGCCCCAAATCGTGAAGAAAGTGGGGGAGCCCATTGAAAGCGAAATTGAGGTGCAAGTATGCACGAAGTCGCATGGTGACCTCTTGCTACACAGCTTCCTAGAAAATTCGTAGCTCTGTTTTCAGCTGATGAAGGTAGCAGCATCCGGCCACGCTATCGAAGCTATCTTCATGCCACAAAATGTATCATTCGAGCTGAAGGCTTCCGAGGAATTTATCAAGGCCTCACACCCAATATGGTCGGTGCAGCTTTGTCGTGGGGTCTCTATATGGAATGGTTCGATTTACTCTGTCAATTATAGGAGGCGGCATAGCATTATTATCCATAAAACGAAGTATTCAAGGTATCACAAAATCAAGGCTGTGCTGCCGTTTCGATCTCCTAATGAAAATCTCGATAATTTTCTCATTGGCTTCGTCGCAGGAGCGGCCGTGATGTGCTGCACGAATCCGATTTGGGTCACAAAAACGAGGTGAGTGTTCCATTCCACTTTACGACCAACCTAGTATGGCGTCTGAAGTAGGTTTCGACGGACATTGCCGGTGACATACAACACCCCTATGTTTGTGAGAGAATTGTTCGACTGTTTAGGCTATGCTTGCAGTACGAGACAGGTGCACCGAAGAAATACTCAGGAATGGTGGATTGCCTGAAGAAAATTTATGTTGAGGAAGGATTTCGAGGACTCTATAGGGTGAGTTCCCACATAAAATTATGGATTCTTGATACAAAGGCTCATAGGTCCGATCTTCATTTGATCCCAGTTCGCTTTAATTTTCAGATTCTAGAATTCATCCAGGAAGTTATTGTTACTCTCGAAATTTAATAATTTTAAATGCAGCAGTAGTAATAGTCCGATTTCAGGGTTTCGTACCAGGATTGTTCGGCACAGTTCACGGTGCGCTTCAGTTCATGATCTACAATCGTATGAAGGCATGGCGATGTGAAAGCGACGGGTTGGCTAAGGATGCTCCATTGGTTTGTTGTTGCTTGCTTTTTTTTTAACACGTTGACGACATTGTGCAGCGCATGCGCATCACACCTTGAGCACCGTGTGGGACCGTGTGCAGCGCATGCGCTGCACACAAATTAATTAATTTTATTCGCGCATGCGCTACTTCTTTTCTAATTTTTTGCATCTATTCTATAGACCACACCATAATGTGACTAGACACGGCGAGGTTCATTGAATGGTTGAATATTCTCCTTTTTAGCGAAGGTTTTCCTAGTCTAACGAATTTCCCTATTGTGTTCATTCCCAGTTTTCTTTATAATCTGACAATCTTGGTCATAAAAAAGAGTAGTAGAAGTAAGTACAGGCCTACACATATGGCAAATATTCATGTATTTAGTGGAGCAACCATGTCAAAAGTAATTTTGAGGTTTACTCATAAAAGCAACTGAAACTTGCCTTTTCATTGCCAGAAAACTTCCAATTCAATCAGACTTTTACAGTTGTTCCTTCTGATAAGTTTGACACATCGAATATCATTCGAAACATTTTGTTGCATCCGAGTTTTGCGGTAGTTAAAGCTCAAAATTCACGGATTTGATGTGAGGCGGCGGCGCCTGCAAAATCGCCGTGGTCCCACGCGGTGCAAAAACCCAAAACGCGCGTTGTCGTCAACGTGTTAAAGAGTGGATCGAGGCTAGGTTTTCGACAATTTTTTCATCCACATTCTGATAAGCTTGTTCGACTCTTGAAATCTTTACTGTGGCACATATTAGTCTCATAGATAAAGGAAAGGATAAAGCATTTGCCGTTGATCAATCCCTTGGGATGCGGCACGCATTCTACTTCCATTTGTACATTCGTAGTGGCGTTTGAATGCGATGTGGCCTATACAATGACTTGCGGGGGCCAGCCGATGTACAAGTCAGTGTTTTTTATCCTCCCAGACAAGTCTGGTACCAATTAACCGACCCCGGAGGGATGGAAGGCTTGGTTGGCCCGGGCGACTCACGACCCAGGATTTGATCCCGGACCGCTCGCGTGGTGAGCGCGCCACTTGTCACTACACCACTTCCGCCCGCGTTATAGATTCTACATCCGAAAAAGAATATCTGCAGCCGCTACGTAATCTCCGCCTATAGCTTAGCGGAACCCATGCGATTTGATTGACTTTACTTAATTTTTTCTTTACTCTAAACTCTTGTGTTCAACGCTTAAGTGCTAGACAAGGCTATCTCCTATGGTTGCCGCACTCGTACCCACTATTGCTGCTTATGTTAGTGGCAAAAGGTTTTCGAGGCAAAGATGAGTGCGCGTCCACCTGATGCCCGCATAATCTTATGATAATACCCACGCAAAGGTACTCCCATCTACCAATATCCATTCCTGAACGAGGCTACATGAATTACAGTAGCTAATTTTTTAGGGTCAAACAGACTATCTGATGTTTTCCGCTGTTTCGAAAGTCATCGCCACTACGGCCACGTTTCCATATCAAGTTCTCAGAACTCGGATGCAGGTAACCAGGAGTTCTATCTGAGCTTCATAAGCTGTTTTCGGTCCGTATTAAGGTGTACTTATGCTTGGCGAAAACCGGTGACAAGTAAGAACGAAGCTGTGGCTTTATGAATGTTGAAACAGTAGCCATGAAGCTCAGATGTAACCTTTTTATAAATGTTTTGTCATAGAAGAACACACTTAAATTGCCATCATGCAAGAAATTAAGCATCAATGAGTGCTTGTTTAACTTGGCTCCAATTAATCCCACTCTGCTGACATTGGTCTAAATTGGTAGTGGGCCAAATATACCCGTTCTTGGTATTCACGTGCTTCGTAATATCTTGAAAGTTGCAAATTCTGTCTTTTAGGACCACAATGTGGAATCAAGGGGAGTATGGCGGACAACTGTGGACACTGTAACGAGAGAAGGGGTACGAGGTCTGTATAAAGGCTGTCTAATGGCCAATTTACGGCAATTACCAGCAGCCGTTGTGACTTTTGTCACATACGAGAATGTTAGGCGATTTATCAGGAATTCAAATATCTAGTCATTTGTCCAAGTCTTGTTGTTGTCATCTGTATTGTTTAGTTGTTGTTGTTGTCTCCCTACAAGAATCTATTGAGAAATACCCAAATAGGATCCTTATAGAGTATAATTTAGGGATAGATTTTGCTAGTTTTTCGAGAAGCTTAATGCTCTATCTTGTACATCAAAAGGCTCATGTCCTCAAGGTTCATTTGAAGACCTCCTATTACCAGAAGTAACAACCTCAGGCGATAGGTGACGGAGGGCTAGTCGGGGACATCGAGTCGGGTCTCTGCCAAGACGCGAAGAACAAGCAAGTATGTTAGAATGTGGTCACCTTAGGAAAATGTTTAGGGCAGCGTTAAATAGCTTGGCGACCTTATCAACTGTACGATAGAAATCGCTGCATAACGACTTGACGTTATGTCATGCCCAGTCACATCTGTTTGCCATGATTTTTGTTCATTCATTATTGCTCTTCGATTCTTGAACTCATTTGCCTCATCAAATTTCTCATCTCATTATCGTATTCGGTAGCGTTCTTTCGAAACCTCTTACGTCGTGTATCTTTTTGATTGATCCGTAGGGAACACCATATTGACTTTGTTCGGGTTTTCTCTGGGTAGAAGCCTCGGATACGGTAGAAATCCGATAGTGAACGAAGTGTTTTTTATTGAATACAACAATATCATCGATGAATGGGAATATCTGGAATGGTTGGAACGCCGCGTGGTGGCGCTTCGCTTAATCACAGATTTGCAAATTCCGCGAACTGCATAATAAATACATCAATAGTCATTCCGCCGAATGCAAAGGAGTCGTAACCGCCCTTTCAAAAAGCGAGAAAGTGTCGAGTGCAGACCAAACACCACAACTGACGACGGCCTCCAAGTAAATCTGGTTAGAAGTTCATAGTGATAGCTGATTTCTGGTAAATGATAGTTGTAATTAGTGACAATCGATAGAATACAACTGCAACAGGCTAATCATTTCATTGGCAGAAAACATTAACATTTTGTGAAGGCCGTCGTCACTTGTGGTGCATGGTCTGCACCCGACACTTTCTCGCTTTTTGAAGGGGAGGGTAGAGTCAACCTGCGTTGCGCAGTTTTCAACGGCCACGTTGCGCAGTTTCGCCCGATTAGACACGTTCTCTCGCGCGAACATTCACACTCGCATGCTCGAGCCGTCTGCGTCTCCGCCCATACAGCGTGCGTTGAGGATCTCTCAACGTGCCGTTGCGAACTGCGCAACGCAGGGTTGACTCTGGGTGAGGGTACACCATGAACGATGTCTGGTGGGGTTTGTTGACCCTAATGACTACTGTGATCACAAGCAAAATGAGCGAGTACTGGCGCCGATTGAAGTCCATCTCCATTTGAACTCGCCAAAATTGCTCTTGTAATCTCAATCCATGTGAAACCGTTATGGTGTATTTACAGATTGTAGTTGTGGAACTTGTCAAGCCTAGCTCCATTTTTACCATTCCTCCATTTTTCGCCTTGTAAACTCGGAAATAAATGA